CTCAAAGCTCTCTAGTTGTCAGCTCACATTGGAAAAGTAACCTTAGCCAACAACTTTCAAAGCTCCCAACAACTCCGACATCCGTTACATTTTGACATAAAAGATGTTGCTTTAAAGCTGGAACATAATGCATTGCTCTGAGGGTGAAGTTGTAGTAAGATGACATGTTTTTGGTTTGGAAAACAAATGAGTAGCAGTAGTGTGAATATGAGCAGAAGTGAGCTGCCTCACACTCACACTAATGGTGATGTGGGAGCTACTGTGCTTTCATCCACTCTGCAGCCTGGCTAGATTTCATGTGAAAGTGAAATAAAACCAGATGCTATATTTTAAAGCAGCTTGGTATTACTTCCACACTTAAGAGTAAAGAAATGCTGGATAAAAACAAGGTAGGGTTACATATCAGTCCACAGTCTTTACATGATGGGCTCTTTAAAGGAGCAAGGTATGTGTGTGCTTCAAAAACCAATAGCCATGTATAGACAGCCATTTCTGTGGTTATACTCTATTCTCTATAAATAAATTAAAGAGAAATGTGCACCCTAAGCCCACAAGGAAATTCATTCATTGTAGAAATGATTACAGCAGCTGTTTTTTTTTCTATCTCCCCTGAAACCTAGTAGCCTCGAGGGAACACGTGGGATCATCTTGAAAACCTCTGCCCTAGATTCATATTTCTCTTCTTTATCATTTGATTATCAATCGGAGCGGTAAACTGTTTCATCTCTTGTTGACACAGAAGGATAAGTTACAGATGTCCCGCACCTTGAGAAAAGGAATCTAAACAATATCTCAATGTTCCACTTTGATATAGGAGAACTACCATTTCCTTTACAGTCAATGGTTACAGCTCGGTTACTGATTTTACCCTAAGCTTTTTTGTAATGTTTTAATTGGAAATATATGTTGTATAAGATAATTTTAGGCTATAGTTCGCAGTTGTTAGTGGATTTACTGCATTACATTACACAGGTGTTCCTGTTATTTTGTCCATTTTGCAAAGCCGTGTTGAACTGCTCTTTTCTTCGGAGGGAATTTTAAAAAATGTCTCAGATTATCATGAAGGAAAGTCCAATGACTATCGGGTTAAATATATTTCAAAATACACTGTATGTATGAAGGCAATGTGTAATGATGCTGTAAATAAAAGACTGACTATTTCAGGGTTCACAGAGAGAGACTATGGCATACAATATATTTTAGACACATGCTACTTGAACCGTGAAAACTATAAAAGGGACACATTTTGTTTACCAGAATATACTGTATGTCTCAGTGAACACCCTCCTGCAGCTGTGTTGAGGTGCTTTTCCATGCATTACAAACAACATGTTATAAACTTAGGTTCAGTTAAGCGTTAACGTGTTTCTCCCACAGATGAGACATGAAGCTGTAACGTGTCTACAATGTGGAAAACTCCATCTGATGTCACTGTGACTGCTCCATGAAGTAGCCCATGTGTACATTCATGGGTACAGTATGGGTCTTAATGTACAGAAATGGGGTGAAGCCTGCGAGCTAGTTCAGGCAACTTGAGCACTTATGCTGCATTCATACATAACGCCCCTTTCCACTCTACAACCAACCAAACAGAGTCTCCTTAATATGCCGCTCTATTTAACCTGCCAGATCTCTCTCCGTGCATTGCTTGCTGCTGCTATCGCTGCAGCTACTTCCACGTCACTGCTGCTTGCCTGCCCCACCAGCACCCCAGCTTCCACCTGTAGGCTGGGGGGTTAGTTATTTAATCATCACTCATCGTGCTATGTATATCTGTGGAGGGATGAGGCCCGAGCCTAGACGCCAAACTCAACTATATGCTGCTTCTAATAAACATGCTAAAGAAACACGTGAGTTGTCTGACTGAAATGTCTTTTATTTGAACATTTATGCTTTACTTACGCAACAGTCTACATAAGATAGCTGCACCATTATAGGTCCAGTGGTACAGGCTGAGTGCTGCCAGGCTAAAGGAGATCTGTTCCCCATATGGCAGCTCCGGCTGATGGCCCCAGGAATTGGAAATTCAAATGGGACCAAATCCTGAGGGAGGAGCTCAGCTTTGGGGTGAGGGGCCAGCTGGAAATGAGAGAGGTGAGGATGGAGAGGGAAGGCTGTGGCCGCAAGAGAAGACACACAGAAGGCACAACATGTCTTCTGCTGAGAGGGATACATATTGAAGCCTATCGTGATGACATGGCTGGAAATGTGTCATAACTCGCAAAAGCTGAGGAAAATGCTTTTCAATATTATATATTATATTAAATAATGGTTATATATATATATATTTTATTATTTATTTATAATTCACTTTTCAAACTTGTAGATATATTCATATTAAAACACATAATACCAAAACAAAAAATATAATTATTTTCAAATTCTGCTTACTGCTAGTTACATTTGTCTAGCTTGAGGTGTGCAATAACATTCTCTGACCACTTAAAGCACATGTGTGATATTCAAAGTACTTCAAGCCACATTTTGATTTATAAAATATGAATTTAGGTCCTTAATGAATGTTGGCCCTGCCTTTTTGGACCTGAAGAAGAATTGATAAACTTCAACTTGCATCAGATATAATATGTCAGGGGATGTGTGAAAATATATGAGATTAAATAGCATTCATCCATTGATTTGTCATATTTCTTATTTGTCATATACTTCACTAAATCCACTGTTTTAATTGTTCCCTATATTGCCCCTATGCCCTGTAAGGTGTCCTTGGATGTTATGAAAGGCACCCCCCAAAATAAATGTATTATTATTATTATATATTATTATATTTAATTATTTGAAGTAGGCTATAAGGAAGTTTTGGGTTAAGGGTTTAATATGCAGACGATTGCATGCCAGTAGTGTTAATTTCGTTGACTAAAACTATGACGAAATATGTTCGTCAACGACCTTTTTTTCCATGACGAAAACGAGACGATGACGAGACGGCACCGACGGCAGTAAACAATAACTGTAACGAAATCATCATGCAATATCGTTGACGAAAAGTGACGAGACGAAAATGTAGTTTACTAAATAAAAACTATGCCAAAATCTCTCTTTACTTTCGTTGACGAAAAATGAGGAGACGAAATATTATCAAAGATAACGTTACATCTCTGATAGTCAGTTTTTCTCCCAGCAGTTCCATTTCCGGTGCTGCGGCTGGGCAGCAGCTGTGTGTCTGTGGTGCGCGCGGCGGTAGATTTGAATTACACCGGGCAGCGGCACAATATGAACTGTCAGGAAGACTCGGCTCTAACTCATGGTCTAACTAACCTTATTTAACAGAAAATAAAATGGCAACAACAGGGCTTGGGAGCAGTGGTCGCACTCGCGTTAACCGAATACAGTCAGCGCGAGTGAGTGATAAATTGTGCACTCGACGGATAATAATGGATTATGACGGAAATGTTACGATCCTGTCCGTCAAAATGACTGACAACGAAAAAGTCTAAAGCCACCACTGCTTGGGAGAAAGAAACGATGTGATATTTGGGCCCATTTTCGCTACAATGAGGCGGAGAAAAAAAGCGAATGCATTGTTTTATCAGAAGGGAAGCAATGTGGCCATAACACAGCTGGTAAAAACACCACAAACCTGACCAGATACTCTCTGCAAAGCTGCTTTCTTAATCATTCAACCTGTGTTTTTCATCAAATAAGGACAAGATATAATCTTATTGTGAAATACGTTTGACTAAAATGACAAATTATTGGTTTTGGCTAGACCAGTTTGACTGAAATGTTCTATATAATCTGATGACTAAAAAAGACTCAACAGTTTTCATTGACAAAAAGTAGACTAAAATAATTAGTTTTCTTTGACTAAAATAAGACTAAAATGCTCAGACTTTTAGTCGACTAAAACTTGACTAAATAAAAACAGGATGAAGGTGACTAAATATGACTAAAACTAAAAAGGAAATTTAACACAGGACTTAGACTAAAACTAAATAAAAAAATAGCTGACGAAATTAACACTACATGCCAGAAGCTTGTCTGTTAAGAATTGTGAATAACATGAACTAAGAGCTGTTTTTATTTTTGTTTGATTTCACAAACAACCATTGGCTTGTCAACCACATGTAGAAATATAATCATAGTCTTTCTCTTAGCTTGATTACATACTACGATGGCGAAGAAACTTTTTACATTTTTATTTGGACAAAATTGTATTAGAGAAGACCTTACAGGACAACGAACAAAATAATGAAAGCTATTTTCTTGCGATTAAAAGCATGTCAATAAACTATAGTGTATGGCTGGACTTTCATGTGATCCTCATCTCTGAGTATGGCACTTAGTGAAATTGAGACTGACACAGATGATTTAGAGTGTAGTGGTGGCTTGGCAGATTTCCATTGAATCAACATTAACCATCATGCCAGTAATGACAGACACGCTATGGCTTTCAGACCTGAAAGTGCAAACATCTCTACTAGACAAATATTTCAATTGCTACAGTATTATCTGGTCATATCTTATTGTAAAATAAAATCTACTGAATGCCACATTTCACTCAAAGTGCTCTTTTAAAGATGTATCATCCAAGAAGGGATGGATCCAGGATGTTAGAGCGATCCAGATCCAGTTAGATTCTCCAAAAGTTCACCATGCAGCACAACTGAACTGACACTACGCCCACTCATTCAGCAGGCGTTTTCCCAAAAAAATGTAAGCAAGGATATAACCCTCTGCGGAGTTAAATGTGGACAGTTTGGCTGCTGTGACTTTCCAGGAAGTGAAGTGAGCATTATATAACTTTTTTTTTGTTCAAAAAGTGTGTTTGTCAATTTATTCCTGAGGGAATTGTTGCTAAAGGCACTACAAATCTGATGTTTAAGTGTTTTCACTCCAAATGAGCCATCAACTGTGCTATATCATTACAAGTCGAAGCTCTAAGCATGTACAATGATTATGTTGGATGATAAACATACTTTTGGATTGAAAGTGAAATGATAATGTTCTGTACATCTAGAGATAGAAGATGATTTCCTTACCTCCAAGACCTGGCCGTAGACGGTTGTCATATCCATCCAGCAGGCTGTCCAGGATGCGCGTGAACAGGGTGATGTTGGTTTTAAAGGCATCGGATTGGGCATCGCAGCTCACTGACCTGGGTGCCGGAAAAACAACAAGAACATGAGCAGACACTTCAACAAGCAAGAATTTGTTTGATTAAATGTTAAAGCTATTCAGAGTCATAACTCTGTGTTCCACAGAGGCCTGATTTATGGGGAATAAAAAGGGGTCGTTATTATCTGGCAGAGATTTCACACATGCCCACACAGACGCACACACATACACATTGTTTCTCATCCACATGGATGACCCAGTTCAAGGCAGAACATTTGTGAGCCATCTGATCTTGAAGCCAAAACACAACTGAATATGCAAATCTAATCAGAGCTAGAGATTCATTGTAAATAAATTCAGATAAGGGCCTACATTAAAGCTTGACATATTCACCATTGCCAACAGCTCTAGTGATGTAACAAACAGGTTTTGAGGCTTATTCAATTTAAGCAGGAATGTCTACAATAGTCATCATTTTACACATCTGGGTGATTTCTGTTATCATATTTCTCTCATTAACATCTGAGAAAGTGTTAATGTAGCCAACTTCTTATGTGATAACCTAATAGACTAGGAATAATGTATTTCTTATCTTTAAGTACAGTATGTTAGCAACAGTAGGCTAGGCTACTTTACCACAGTTTAAATCTACTGGTTAGAACCGCTAGCCCACTTTAAAACTCTGCTAGCATATCCAATTCATAAATCATCAATCTGCATTAGCATGTGTAGAAAACACAAGGTGGAGGATTTTATAGAGCGAACCTTTACATTTATCCCAGAAACTGTTCATTCATATCTTTTCAATTCATTTGTATTCTTCAGTGTTAACATTTGCTTGCTAACGTTAGCTGTCTGAGTAAGCTAGCTGAGTAAGCTAGCTGATTTCAAGGTTTGCTTGGAAGTTAGCCTTCTAAGTTAACTAAGAAATAGTCATGTTTCTCTCTAAAGAAGAACAATTTCAGCTCTTACATAACTATTAAAGATACTTGTATGCACTTTTGTGGAAGTTAACTAAGCTCTGTAATGTTGTGTTGTAGCTTCCTGTTTGATAAAGTTGAAAACCTCACAATTTAAGACAATAACTTTTAGCAAAATGGCTTCGAAGCCACAAAAGCTAATATAAGAAAAGCACAACACTGTTATCATATTTATCCTGTTAACAAATAAAGTTTGGTTTAAGGTTTTCCTTGTCTTCCCATGTTTCACAGCAGACATTTTGTCTTGTAATCACACAATGATGCTCTACTCAGGTGTCCCAGATTGTGACATTGAGCCATCATTTTGGTCTATATAATACACTAATGTATCCATTAATCTGATTCTGACATGATTCATTGTATTTTCTACACCTTTGCATTAACTGTAACATGTGAAAATGTCTGCCATGAAAAAGGCCTACAGCCTAGCATGGACAATGTGGCCGCCCCAGGCAAGGTTTCTTAAATCTAGTAGGCAACAGTAGTGGGGACACAGGCCTATTGAATAATGGATTATTTAAATTACCTGTCATGCTTGTGACATTGACAGTTTTTCCCTTTTGTCAACTGTCCTCTAGTGAGCGCTCAAATTAACCAAACTGTCACTCCCAATGGGCTATCCACAGACACCTTTACACCTGAGGTGTCAATGTGAGATGTCCTCTGATAACACTGTAGGAGCTTGGCAACAGTCAAAATGAAAGCTACATATATCAGACTTAATAATTTAAACTAATTAGACCTTATAGTGTACTGTATATTGTTGTATTGGCCTATATTTTTCTTTTAATAAGCTACTATTTTGTATTCCCTTTGAGAAAAAGGCTACACAATTACAATGCAAGGTTTGTATTTGCTGTAGCAATTATCCCATATTAGAATGGGCCATTCAAATAACTGTTAAATAATAAAACTCAAGCTGCTCTTTGGAATGTGCAATATCAAATAACCTTGGAAACCAGTAGCCTATGGATTATAAATTGTATTATAGGCTAGATAATTACCCACATGCCCTAAGGGTTATTTTTATGGTCAGACTGAGGATATGAAGGCGGTAAACTGCCTCTCCTGCCTCCTGCGCATTGAGTGCCCACTGACAATGAGCCCTGCGTGATAATAACATTTTAAAAAACTTGATAAATGGAGACCCCCAGTCCCCAGAGACTCAGTGGGTGAGTGATCCCCGGCATTCAGCTCGTGCACTATCATCGCTTCAAGGCGTCTCCCCCCATTCAAAGCACTCACCTGGTTTTCCAGAGAACAGTGAGCGCCAGCAGGCAGAGGAGAAGTGGAGGAGCGCTCTCTCTGCTCCACATGGCTGCTTCAACACCTACACACAGCAGGGCAGCCGCTGCAAGGAATGGACGCGCAAATTAACCGGCTTGACATGCAAGTGGATTTCTTTATATAACATGCAGACATGATATCCAACACTTATATCTGGGGATTCCCTTCAGCTCACAACAAAATAAGAGAAGAAGAAGCAGGCTGCAATTAGTATTCACTGACACGTCCCACGCCTCCACTCACTGAACATACCCAAAAAGATTGCAGAGAACGATCTGAAGAAGTATTTAGACGATTACAAATCATTACATGCAGAACATAATCAATAATATGAGAGGCAATGTGGGATCAAGATCTTTTCCATAATACAAAATAAACGTTTCCTTTGTGTCTGAGAGGGGGATTTACAAAAACATAGATACAAAAAAACACTCACCTCAAGTGCAGAAAGTACCTGCTGCAGCTGGATTCGTCGAAGATGCAAGAAAGTTAAATCACCGCTCTCTCCTGTTTTGATGCGACTGAATGAGTTCAAGTGTGTCATGAGAACAAAGCTGCGAGCATTGATAAATCATAGTCCCAGCCAGCAGCAGGAATGCACCCGAAATGCACAGGCTTTCATAGTGTCCCCCCTCCCAAAACTAAAATGGGAAAAAATGATAACAATGAGATGGTAGGAAATTAAATGTAAAACATAAATAAAAAAAAGCAGCAGTTGCGGGAGATGATCCTGATGTTTTAAATTGCCCCTGTTCAGCTTCCCCCCTCAGCTGGTTAAAAAAAAAGCTCGATGTGAATCGTGATAAGCAAGAAGCACATCTCAGTCTCCCTCATCTCTCCACAGAAAAACTACAAAGGCTGAGGAGGAGACCCACTGGGTCCTAGAGACGGTTTGGTATGCATGCAGACCAGTGAGGATGTTAATGAATGTTGTTTCCACTCACAGCCAATGTATAGTGCCATATTGATTATGCAAAACAGCCAGGCTTTGTTGCATGGTTGCGATGGAAATTGCACCTTTGGAAATGGAGTCCATGGGTTCAGCCATTTTGGTCTGTTTTGTGTGTCACCAACTGCTCATGAGCCTTGGGTTTCTTTTCATTTCATTCTCAAAGGTCTGCTAATTATCATGTGTACTTAAGGTGATGGAAAAGCCTTCAACACAGCTATTGAACCACGGGACACTAAAACGCGCCACTGAAATACTGATTAATGATGGTTTTGTATCATTATCTGACTTACATATTCTTGGTTGACCTATTTGTGTAGCTGTGGTCAGTATACACTGATATACTATCCAAATTGGCCAATATTGGTGTATACGTTGATTGGATTTGAAGGGGCCCTATTATGATAATGTTCAGGTTCATATTTGTATGTTGTGCCTCTACTGTGACATGTCTCCATGCTTTAATGTTTCTCATACTGCCTGAGCTGCAGCACCTCTTTTCTGCTCTGATTGGTTAGCACTCCGGCTCTGTTGTGATTGGTCGACAGCTTAGAGATGTCCCGTCCCTTAGCCTATCACGTACAGTATAATGTTTTGGAGAGCTAGCCAAAATAAGTGCAAGTGTTACATAGTGATGTCACTATGTCCAGAAGTTAAAAAAAGGAGTCCAATGGAAAGGCTTCAGGCAGGGGGGAATGGGGGAGGAACACAGTGAGTGTAGCCTTTAGAGACGATGCACAACAAGTCACTACAGGAAAGGGAAAACCCCCAAAAGCTTATTAGGACCTCTTTAAGAAACTGTGGGTGAAAAGGGTATCATATGTAACTGTTATCACTATGAAATATATGTTTTTGTTTTGCTGGCAACAATGACATTACAGTTCGTAAATGAGGCAAATTACTTTTGGTGAAATTAGGAAAATACTAAAGTGGGCAAGGTGTTTTCTTTTTACTATAGTCCAAATGAAATGCCAAAATACAAAGTGATGACCCGTTGTTCTCGTTGTGTGTTTTATGTGTGTGTGAAACATAGAGAATGGATGGCCCTCTTGACACTGCTGTTGCTAGGACAGTTGTTGTTGTGGTATAAATTGTTATCCTTTTTCTAACAGTTATTGTAGTTGCAATGTTTACAGCATGTAGACTAATTTCTCTTGTGAGCCTCAAATCATAAACTGACAAATAGCAAAAAAACACCTTATTATATTGTAGATTAGTTTCCTTCGTGCTGCTTTTCCTTACAATGATGTCACCGGCTTTAATGTAGAGCTTTGGGAGCTGTTCTTTCAGCACCACACGCTGCATGGCCTACATTGGATCATTGTAACATCATCTAACATGTAACTAGTTTTTCTGTCTATGACAACATTTCTAAATGCAACAGCAGTGTGGGATCCATTGGTTTATCCTAATATAATAATGTTTATATATATATATGCACTTTCTATGAAATAGACCAACAAACAGAAAGTCTACAAATTCCCAAAACATTCCTTTGGAATGTCATTCTGTGATATAAAAAAACGACATTGAACGGAAGACGTCAAATGAATTCTTGCAGGAAAAGTGTATATTTTTCAGGGGGGAAACAAATCTTTGAAATTTGGAAAAAATGTAATGGATTGTTAACCCTTTCTTGACCAGATTACCAACTAGGCAAGGTGGCAGCAGGTCCCCAAAAACCAACATGGTCACTCTGTTTTTGGTGATGTTGGGGTGCTTTGTGAAAATACGATACAAACACTTTTAAAGGCTATTCAAAGAGCTGCTGATCGGGTAATATCATTCATGTAAATTATGTTTGTACATATACGCACACATTGGTGCAATTGTAGATTATTAGGAGTCAATCTCAATTCAGTTTAAACAGATGAAATGTTATGTGGAAAAAAAAGGTATGAATGTATTTTATGTGGATACATTGTTATGCTATAATATAAATAATATATATAATATAATTGATAGATGAACTCAAATGCTAACAAACATCAGGTAGGATTGTCTGTGAAATGGCAAGATGGGTGGGAAGGGGGAGGGACGGGGTGGCATGGGAAAGGGATTCCCTATATTTTTGTATTTGTCTTTTATTTAAATTTGTGTATTATTGTCTATATCATTTGTATCTGTGTAGATAAGTCCCTTCATTTGTGAGGACAACAAATAAAAAAAAAACAATAAAAAGTTGGTCACAAAAAAAAGATACTTTCATCATTTTAGTTAATATTGTGTTCAGATGGTGCTTATTTCAAAAGATGTGTGCAATAGGAGATGAGTGAAAGCCAGGCAGGCACTTTCTGCCCCAGAGCCTCTTAACAGGTTAATATGGCCATGAATTATTCAAGTGTATGAATCTACAGCTGTGTTAAATAGATAAAATGTGTGTGTGTTTGGAACATCAAGTAAACGTCTCGTTGCAATGCCTAGAATTTATTTTTAAACCACCCAATGGTCACTTCAGGTGTTATATTTGTAGTATTTGCAAGTGTTACATCATAAACAGTGTTTATTCGTAAAAGCAGAAACAAATATGTCAAGGATTTAGTTAGGTTTAAAGTGTGTGGTTAATGGGTAAAACATATTACTATATTTTAAAATCATTCTTTTTTAATTACCTTTTCAATAATAAAATGTATTCTCATATATTTTTATTTCATATGTTCTTATCTTATATGTTTATGTGTGTTTTTCCTTTTTTGGGGGGTTTGTCCGTACATGGACTTTATCCTTTTTTTCTATTTTTGTACTTTATCCATACTATTTGTGTTATGCCAATGAAATAAAAAGAAGATAAAATAAATCATAATAACAATAATGATATTTTAAATGCACCCTGTTGTATAAAGTGTGCTATATAAATAAACGTAACTGTGCTTTAAATCATGTAACTGCTGCAGAGGCGGAGACAGGTTGGTCAAATGGACAAAAAGCATTAAGGAGACCTGATTTAAGAGGCAGCAGAGAAAGTGAGTAATCTCTTTCTCTCTCACACACACACACACACACACACACACACACACACACACACACACACACACACACACACACACACACACACACACACACACACACGGATCAAAACAGGCTGCTGGACCTCAGGGGTCGGTCCATTATCAAGCAGCCGTTGCCTTCCTTTGCTATACTTCAGACAGGCTGCCCCATTGATCTCGGCTTTAATCTATACCAGTGACAGGTGATCGATGAGCCAGGTCATCTCAATAACGCTGACCCCTGGGCCATCAAGTCCAACAAAGCAGGTAGGAAGCAGCCTGCAGGCGGAAAAGCAAGGGCATCGAGGACAAAATCTACCCTCCTTTATTCTGTAAATCTGTGTGTGCACGTTTAGTTTCCCGCTAAACTCGGGTTAAACTCGGGCTGTTAGCCTCCGAGTTACACACTCTTACAGCACAATGCTTATTGCAAGATGTTGCATCAGACTCCACTGCCAGGCCTGAGTGTGTCCCAGTTGGGCACAATGAGTGACAATGCATATTGATCAGGTCCATGTGGAGGTAGGTATGATTCAAGGTTGAAAGGTAGCGTTAATATTTAATTAAAATGACAAATGAAAACCCTTTATCACTGTCACTCCTGGTTTAGTATCATATAGAAGTCACGTGTGGAAGGGAAACATGTTAAACTCGTGTTAAGACTGTAAATGTTACAATAATGTGATTCATGTCACTTTCAAGGATAGTGCAGTCTAAATATGCAAAGTAATTCTCCATTTGTATGGCAATTCCAATCTGGCGTTAATTTGACCACATTACCTGCAAGAGGCCAGAAATACCAAAGGAGCAATACAAATGCAGATTCAGACAGGCGGGAATTGACAGATGTGCTTTCATTCAGTGGGGGTGCAGCTCAATAAGGATCTGGTCGATCAACAAAAAAAAAGCTAACAGGAAAGTGTGCTGCTGCTGCTTCAGCGGCGCTGATTGAATTATTTTCCTTGTCAGAATAAATATGAAATATGTGCATCTAACTATAGCCCGAGCAAAAAATGCTTTGCTTGTTATAGAATGAAATACATCAGAATAAAAATGGTTGACAGACATGTGGGGTGATATGAGTCACATGGATGCATAAATAGCCATGCAAACACACAAATACACACACACACACACACACACACACACACACACACACACACACACACACACACACACACACACACACACACACACACACACACACACACAGTGTCCTCTGCTGGAGAAACACAGAAACTGGCTCCTTGTAGATTTGGAAACAGATGACAGTATCAGCACACAAATACACTCAAAGTATCTTCTCAGATTTCTCTGAGAAGATACTTGCTCCTGATATAAGAGTGCAGCACCAGCTGGTTGTTGACTCCACTGACATTTTGGGGCGAAAATAATACCTGATCCAGTCATGCAGCTTGCTGTTGTCAGTTGCATGTGAGTTGATTCACCAGGCAATGCTGGAAATGCTAAACCAGTCTCAGGCCTGTTACCTCGGCAACAAGCCATGCATGGCAGAAGAACGATGTTGTGAGAGAGAAAAAAAAGATGAGGAGCCCATCGAGGAGCTCTGACACTCTTAAAGTGATAGGTCACCCCTTAAAAAATCCTTTTGCTGAAAACACACAGACACACACTGACACAAACTCTGCAGATCGAACCCTTATGGCCCGCCTCCAATTGTATTCTTGATAACAAAAGCTCAATTGACTGTATTCCCTTCTAAGGGGACCCACATTTAACATGTCAGTCAAATATTCATATTTTGAATATACTGTTTTTTCTTTATCTGCTTCTTAAAATGTTAGCCAGGTGATCTAATTTATATAATTTATATTTATAAATATATATATTTATATTTATATTATATTTATATTTATATGGGGAGGTTTTGGCTCAGTGGTTAGAGCGTTGATCATCAGATCAAGGAGCGATGGTGAATTCCAGTTCGAAACCCGCCTCGGCCGCCACTGCGTCAGGCCGTTGTGTCCTTGAGCAAGACACTCTACCCGCATTTGCTCCTGTGGGTAATGTCCACAGTATTGACATTTACATGTCTAATATGTGTAATATGTACTTGTAAAGCGCTTTCAGCACCTGTAAAAGCGCTCTAATTAAAAATGTAATACATTATTATTATTATTATTATAAAGGGAAAACACAAAGAAGCACAGGTAGCTAATTACACTAACAATGGCTATGTTACATTTAACCAGTCAAGAGACAGGGTTCTGCCAGTAGGGGTCTCAAAATCTGAACATTAACAAAAGACGATTGCTGTATCTCATTTGCGTAATTCTGTGCTATGAGTACCCTGATGCACTCATAACGGTCAAAACCTTGAGTGTTGAACACTGGGCACTTCTGCCCATCATGGGCGGTTCTAGCGGGGAGGGCTAACAGGGGCAAGTGCCTCTCTAACACTGACCCTGCCATCCTGGCTACGCAACAAAAGTTGTGCTACCAGCTGCGATTGCGGTTTCTCTGGAGAACACAACACTTTACAAATTAAAGTTACATGTGTGTTTTCTATATTTGATACACGGACCACTATAGTTTAAAAGCGAAAGCATTTATAATTTCACTGGTGTGATTGAGCGGTCTGGGATGATTTGCTACAACGAACGATGCAAATCATTACAGCCGGCTAGCTAGCTAGCTAACAGCAGCAATTGTCATTTCTGTGGAGGACACAGCAGTGTCCACAGTGCACTACATGCAGTGTACCAAGGAGAGTATCCAGAACAACAAGAGTTGGTTTGTGTCATAAAGTAGCGTGTGATCATTTAAACATGTTTACTTCTTAGATATTGTGATAAAGTTCAAGTTAGGTATTACATTGGTATATTCATGAAAATATATTTGAGAACTGACAAAATGTCTTACAAACCGTAAAAGCACAATGACAAAAAACATAAAAGGTCTAAAGTGCCAGGTTGCATCAAAATGGGATTGCAATGAATGATTTAGGCAGGTTGAAATACAGTGCGTACAGCAGAGTAAAGTGGGTGAAACCAAAAACATGATTATACAATGTGTTTCTTTCCCCAGAACAGATCCAGATAAATAAGTCAAAAGGAAGAAAGGATTGCTTGGACTTCATTATTCTTGATCAATTGTATTACTTCCACTAGTAGATTGACAAAACATGTGTTTTGGCCCAAAGCATAGCCTTCATATACGACAGCACTGAGCACTCTCTTTAAACTCTTACTCATACAGTCACCATCAAA